ATACCTCGCTGTGATGATGTTCGTCACAAGAATCGAAGAAGATTGCCTCGGAAACAGCGTCAGCATGAATGTTCCGGTGAAGCCAATCGACAGCTGGTCAAGAGGAATCGGCCGTCGTCTTCTTCGAATCTCTTAACCGCACACATTTTGATCAAGTATAAAGTGATTTAGTTAGTTGAGGTCTTATGTCAACTTCGAAGATGTAGAGTATATATACCACTTTTTAGGGATTTGCCGGTGAGTTTTCTTGACTCGTTAGCTTCAATTTGGTTGTGACGATGATACCATGCTCTGATGATGTTCGTCGCATGACGGACGAAAGCTTAGCACCTTTTCACCGGAATTGAAGGAGATTAATTCGTAAATTGCGTCAACATGAATGTTCCAGTAAAGCCAATCGACAGTTGGTCTCTTGGTGGAACCGACCTTGGAATCTCTTCACCGCACACTTTCACTCGAAATGGAAGTAAACTCAACAATTATTAGACAAAAGAGTCGCCAAAACCCAACTTTTCTTCGGAGTCTCGAAAGCCTGATCATAGACGAACAAGTACTTCAGTAGACTTCGAGACACCATTCAAGAGCATCTAAACCAACCTGGCATGACAAACTACTTACTTTAGTGATAAAGATGCTCTTGCAATACACACACACACGCACACTTGCCACACTTTTTTGTGTTTTTATGTGTATGCTTGTGTGTGTGTGTGACGATGGAGTGAGAATGGATTTTTTTGGTGACCTGTTCTTCTCCACTTTTGGTTGGCCAAGCTTTTACTCGACAATTAATGAGACCTTCGCAACAGCCTCACAACGAAAGTAAGTTGGCAAAGTGATGCTTCGGAGGCAAAAGGTATCTCGCAGGCACCAGAATGATACATTTCACGTTGACCATGTCGTGTTAGGATGCCATCATTTGCCTCAAAATGTCGCAAACACCGTCCGGCCACGGGCGTCAGCTCGACCAGGCCCGGAAGATGTGCGTAAAATGCGGTGTTTGGCGGCGGTGCGGACCGCGATCGCCAATTGGTGCGTTAGGTCCTGCGATCGGCTGCACACGACCGGGCACCGCGTCATCGGGAGGCGGTATTGGGCAGATTGAACGCTTGTCTCCAGCGCCGGATTGCGGCTGTTGCTGACTCGTTTTTTCTTCTCATCAGCTGCCACATCTTGTTCCGCCCCCCTCGAACCGGGAAAAGCGCAAAGAGGGCATTTCAGAGGCTTGATTGGCTCGAAGCTGGCTCGGGACAATTGAGAAAGTAAAAGTGAGGAGGGAAGAGTTG